AACCAAGAAGGCTATCTTGATTTTTTTTTTCCTGACATTCATTTACTAAATAAATTTTAATAAATACTTCATATTAAAATTTGCACATGATTCAGTCGATCATTTTGTACAAAGCATTATTCAAGTTTTGTCAATCGTAATTGAACATTTTCCACGATCGCAAAAGAATAAAGTATTCTATCTGCCTGATTGTTGAGTCTCCCTTAACATCCTCAATCAAATCCATATTGTTCTCCATGAAATATTACGATTTTGTCATGAGGATTGAGTATGTTGCATTGAAGTTGAAGAAATTTCCTCATTATGTATTTTCTTAAACGAGTGGATGAGGCAGAATATGGTTATTGAGATATAGAAAAGACCTATGTAGATGAGGAGAGCTTGCATAAATAATAAAAGGTGGCTATAAACAATAATGAGTTGTCACTAAAGTTGATACAGAAGTTTGAGAAACTAGCATGGAAGACAAACAATGAGATCTACAATCTACTGTTAGTGTGCCAACAAAAGTGCCCACAAAATCCTTAATTATAAATATATGTGTAGCATTAATTATATGACATAGTCGAAACCGCATTATAAATATATGTGTAGCATTAATTATATGACATGGTCGAAACCGCCTCTGCTCTCATCATATCAAAGCTCCCTCTAAAATTCATCAAAGTCAAGCATCAAAGGTGCATCCAATATTTGTCGAAGCCGAAAATCAATAATTCCCTCTTTGTTTGTCGAAGCTGCACATCAGAGATCGTTCCTACATTTGTCGAAGCCGAGAGTTGGAGTTCTTTTTTATTCATCAAAGCTAAATATCAACCCTCTAAAGCAGAAGTCGCAAGCTTCCTTGTCGCAACCTAAGCAAGACTCAAGCATGTTCAGTGAAGTCGATCCAATACCCACGAATATTGTGATTTTATTCATCGAAGCAAAGTGAAGTCAAAGCCGCTCTAATTTTTTAGGTTATAATTTTTTTTTACTATTTAAAGATAATTGTTATATAGAAAAGTTAAATTTTAATTTAATTAATTCAACAAAGTGTAATCGCATAATATTTTAAATCCTAGCAAATAAGTTGGCCAAATTCTTTTGAAATATATAATGTTTAATTATGAAAATTAATTTTTAAAAGTATGTTGGTTCATAATATAAGTTAAATTTTACTCTTGTATACTTTATTTTATTATGTCTATAGTAAAGAATAATGAAAAAATTATATTTTTATTGTGATGTTTTATTAATTATAAAAATATATCCATGATGTGTCATGTCCTATTTTTTTTCGATTATGTGATATTGTCGTATCGTGTCATATCGTGTTCATATCTCTGTGTCTATTTCCATGCCTCATAGGATGTGATCAAGGCAAACGCAGAAGGGTGCAAATGGGTGAATATTGCGGACATAGCTTGAATGATAATAGTACTTGTCACGGAATATATTGACAGATGTGTTAAGTCACAAAAAGAAGATTGCCTAGAGGGAGGCATATCGATATGGCAAGGATCGACGGAGGTCATAGCTCGACCGTTAAAACAAAACAAGGGATCATAATGAAACTTGCTATGTCAAGAAGGAGTCTGGTCAAATGCAGAGGTGGTCAATGAAACAAGCATAGATTCTTAACGAATATGCCAACATTAGGATCTTAGATCCTAATAAAGCTATTCAAGCTACTCATCACTCCCAAGATAAGATACAAAAGAAGAATTGACAAAAGGGTGAAATCTATTCATTCATTTCCATATTTTTCATCCACTCTAAATGGAGGAATTTATCAAAAACAAAACTAACTCAACTCACGCCCAACTATCTTTTAACACTTGACCATCATCCTTAATATAACAATAAGATTCACAAAAACAGCGAATAGAAGTGCAATCGCATTGGCATATGTAGTCATGCAGACAACCACTCTGTAAAAGAAAACCTAATAACAATAGTAAGGATAGAAAAGAAAGGAAAGGAAATAGTAATAAAAGGGCATTTTACATATGTTACTTTTATATAAAACCAATAACCAAGTATAAATCATTTTACATATTGTCCATATCAAATGAAATAGATATAAATCAGATTTTTAATTGACCACAAATCCACATGAGAATACCATACATGGTTTTGAGTAATCAACCAAATTAATAATCCTCTCTAAATAATGATCCAACAAAAACAACAACAACAAAGCCTTAATCCCACTACGTGGGGTCGGCTACATGAATCCTTTTTCTCCATTGCGTCCTATTCAAATAATGATCCAAATTAAAAAAATAAGTTGGTAGAATTTTTTATTATTCATGTCAATATCTAACAAACTGATAACATTAATTGAATACCCCAATTGATTGAGATTTTACAGATAAAGATCTACTTCATTTTTTCTACCTTATGCTAAAATGTGAGGAGATTTGAGAAAAGAGAGACAATGAGAGAACTGGCCACTATAGAAATCAATAGTGAATGGGAACGAAAGCATCATTGCTTCTTATAGCAACCTCTGGAATTGAACCATTGGTAAGGTCTGCAAAATATACGATGGCAGATAAGTAATTTAATAAGATGCATTTTCAAAACGCTTATACAAACCACCATTATCATTTATCTTGACCTAATTATATATATAATAACAACTGTATACCATCTTAAATGATATATTCCCTTGGATCTTCTAAGAGGGGTGGCCAATCATGTCATCAAAATGAGAAAATTGGGGAAGAGCAATTTGGATGATTCTTTGATTTTCAATTTTTTCACACCCCCTTATCCTAAAATTTGAATTTCACTCCTTCACAAACTGATCCCTCCTTTTAGAATAGCATTACCCTTCTTTATAGGGAGTAAGGAGTCAGTCGGTTTTAATGAATCAATTTGCAAATTGGTCAAATCAATTGCAACTAAAATCCAAAATCCAGAAAATCAAACCAATCAAAATTTTAATAAAACCGAACCAACCAAACCAAGGTTTCATTCATTTTAAACGGTTTGGTTATGAATAAACCAAAATTAATTGTTTGCTAGAGTTTGAATATGAACAATCATTATAAATTACAAGTCTTAAATGAATTATATCAATTTAATTTCATGAATCAATCATTTATTTTAATCAAATATTGTATAAATGATAAACAACTATTTATTTTTCATGAAATTAACATATAGGATGATATACATACATACCACTTAATTCCTATGTATTTACATATCTAACACCTAAACTTTAATTTTTAAATTAACGACGCATAAATTATGCATGAAACATTGTATTTCATTTTTTCTAAAATTAAAGTGGTGGTATTTTTAATGAGATATAAAATATTTTGGAGTTATAATTGTAAAAAAGTAGAATTGATGTGTTAGATATATAAATACATAGGAACTGGGTGTTATGTACATAAATGTACCTAAAATATAATAAAATTTTTTAATAAATTTTGATTTTTCAGTTTGTTAGGTTAAATGCAAATTCAAACCGAACCAATAACCGAAAACCAAATATTAAGGTTTTAAAAAGTAAAAATCGAAATATATTTTTGAAACCAAACCGGAACAACCAAACTTAGTTAGTTCGGTTTGATTTTTTGGTTTTGACTAAATAATGCACACCCCTACTTCTATGGTTATTTTTGGCATTTTGTACAGCCTCTTGAATCACATCATGTAGTGACAGTCTCTCTCCCTTCTTCTGAATTTCAAGTCATTGAAGATGGTCTAATACAATAATGATGGGTAACACATATGGATGCATCAATCTTATTCTTTTTTAACTAGATCATGAATCATGTGGGTTTAGAATTTTATATTCCTCCCAAAACCAACCATTAATCTATGCAAACAAAAAAATGAAATTTTTGGTTTGCTTTGTGGAAGTGAATTTTTATCTTGTTCTTGTAAAAATCAGACTAAGGCGACTATTGTTGAAGAATGTGAGATTTTGATTGCATTTTTTAAGATAAATTATTTTAGGCATACAAGAAATTTTTTTGCGATGCATCAAGTTATAAAAGTTTTATATTCATATTTCCCACCTCTTTCTGAGTTTGATGACAATTTTGGTGTTGTTTCAATAAAAAAATTATTATTGTATGTTTCGAGAGAAAACCTATACGCCAAAAAAAAATACATCTAAAAACAAACTACATCACTTTTTATGAGGTGGACCAATAAAACCACTCCCTAAGTAAAATCATATGACACTACCCATATGTTGATCGGCGAACCTAAGAAAAGGGACTCCCACCCCCTCCTAAATTTTTTTTACAAAGGTTTTTGATTGTTTGTGTAGGTCCAACTACTTTCTAGAAGAATAAGTAAGATTCTGTTCGTTTATTGACAGCTTTAATGAAACTATAGTTTAACATGCTAAAGCCAACTAGCAAAAACAAAATGAATGAATTAACCAATATTTCAAAAATATCAACAAATATACAGCTCTAAGCCATTGAGTATTCATGGCAATGACAAGCAATGTAAATAGAGTAAGCCACCTAATCTACAAATATCAATTCTCAATAAGTTTCTCTCCTATTTAAGACAAGCAATGTACATAGAGTAAACCTTACTTTTCAAGTGATGGTAATCCTTGTTACTATATTCTTAGTTTGCTTCAATCTTATTTCAGAACATACCGGTTGTGTATGTTATGCCTGAACAAACATATTGTTTGAAACTTAAAATTCATAGAGATGTGTGGATGTATTTTGTGGTGTCCTATTATGTGCAAGTATTTTTATATTAAGTATTTCTATATTATTATATTGGGTTTAACGTTTAATTTCTTACTCTTTCACAATATGAAAAATTTGGCATAGGTGCAATAAAGATAGATATGGAGGGACTTCTTGGGAGAAAAGTCGTTAGAGCCAGCATGTTCAAGTGTGGAAGCCAGTGCAACAATTAGCAAGAATGAAAAGCACATTACAAGACCAAAGTGGCCAAATGATCATATTGTGGTAGTTAAATACGCAATTCACTATCTTCAGAACAATTTATGTATGGGAAAATACCTGATGGGAATCCCAACGAAGAAATATGGACTGGCATTATTTCTGTTTTGAATTGCTGGCTTGAAACAACATACTCCGTTGCAGTTGTTAAGACCTGCTTCAAGAACATGATAACAACTTTCAAAAATGTTAATCAATAGAGTAACAGAAGTGGGAGGGGATGGGATAGATCTATGAAAAATCTGGTTTAGTGATTTTGATCTAATCCATTATCAGCTCAAAATCAATTTATGAATCAAACATGTTCAAATTTGACCCGCTCAACTTCAATTGGCTCATTTTGATTTCAGGAAAACTCAAAATTATAAAAATATATTAAATTTGAGTAAAAAAAAAAAACTTATTTCTGGTACACAATGAAAAAAATACAAAAACTTGCAAGGAGGCAGAGGAGATAGGGTGATGTGAGGTGTGAAGAAATCTTTGCTGCGTAAAAGAAGATGGCTATCAGAATACAAAGCAAAGCGTTTTCTGTTGCACAATTTACTCATCTCAGTTCAAAAAAATAGATGGAGTAAATTTTTTTGCATTTTCCTCCTCACAAAATTATCCACTCGCCATTTTCAATCTTTAATTCATCCATCAAAGTCAGCATCACCATACTTGTTAACCCCTAATAAATTTTCAAACATGCTGTCAAAAGCAGTTGCTATGAAAAAAAAAAAAACCAAAAGCCATTGCAAACTCTGAAAAGGAAGTGCAACCATAGCAAGATGCTGCCAGGCACTTCAATATAAATTAATTCCATTTCAGGATACAGAATGTCCGTTAAAAAATAAAATTTAACCTAGCACATCATTATTTTGTTGTTGGAAGCAAGAACCAGTCCCTCACAGTACCCTTCTAATACAACCTAGTAACAGATTGAAAACTTAAATGCAAATGCTCGTACCGCCAGTGAGCTTCTCTAAAAGTTCAATATTTCACCGTCCGGGAACTCCATGCTTTCGCCTAATTCGCAAAACCCGACTGGGTAAAGATAAGTATGCGCAACACTAGAATCTGAATAAATCCATAACTAAACTACCTCTGAGAACGACGGGCGTAGAGTTGAAGGTTGCAGAGGAGAGGAGACGGGGCCGGTGCGAGCTGTGGTGAAAGAAGATTCCAGTGATAGAGGACTGACGGGTTATTGCGGCTGCGGGGATAAGTTATCTAGAATTCCTGCATTTAGGTTAACCGGTGCAGGTTGGATGCTCGCCATCTTAAGTTCCTGTACACCAAGGCTCAAATACAACGCTTTATTCAAAATCCAACGGTTAATAAAGAAACAATGCATCAAAGATATATGTGAAAGCTAAAAATAAGGAAAAATTATTGCGTCCAGAGAGCGCACTCAGCTCTACATGCGAATATCAATTCGCAAATGTCACATGTCAATTATTTTTTTATTATTATTTTATTCTAGAGAATTCATAAGAAACTGTGATAATAATGGTGTGGCTCGACTCGGCTTGTCATAGGATATTGGTGTGTCAATTTAACCTAGGAAAATATTGTTAGAAATTTAAAAACGCATTAAGAAAAGTTTTACAACCTCAGGGTTTTTGTTTAAAAAGTTTGTTCATAGTGAAACATCAGGAAGAAATTGTTGTGGTTGCCGAAAGTCGCGAAAAAATTGTGAGAATGGATAAAAAACATAGTGGTAACTTGAATAGATCTCAGGTCATGTCTTTTTCTCTTTTTTGTGATCATATTATAGACATGAACTCATTGGTAAGTTCGAAACAAATTTTGTTTATATTGTCAATCTGAAAGCTTTTTTTTCATAGTGTTTTAATGCATTTAATATTTAATATCCAATGAGATCTTATTATATGGGTGCTGATAAAATGTAGAGATATAACCATATTTTTACCCACCGAATTAGTTAAGTTGAAGTTCGCTATAAAAACTTTGACTTTTATTTTGTAGTATATTATTGTATATATTATTGAACGTTTTATCAAATTTAACCTTGCCGAAATGGTTCTAGTTATATATTTAGAAAACATAATTTAAAATAACTAAAAAATGAAGAAGATCATTTTGTAGGATTTAGTGTACATTTTCTTTTTAAATTTGGTTTGTGTTTGAAATAAAAAAAATTGTATATAGAAAGAATGAATTTTTTTTTTGTACTTTTCATCAATCCTATGAATGGTTGATTTATCCCTCGTACAATCAAGTAGTGTTAGTTATACTAACTTATCTCATGTAATTGATGCAACGTGGTTGTACTGAAACTAAATAAGTAATGTTGTCTCAGTTGTAAGAATTTTGAATAAAAATAAAAATATTATAAGAAGAAAGAATGATTTTTAATTTTTTTCCTTTTGCATCATTCCTAAATTTGGTTGATTTATCTCCTATACAATCATGTTGTGTTGGTTTTATTGATTTATCTCAGTTTAATCGATATAGCACGGTTGTACTGAAGGAAAATAAGCAATATTGCATCGGTTATAAAAATTCTGAATAAAAATAAAAGAATTCTGTATGGAAAGAATGAGTTTTTAATTTTCATTTTTTCTTGTTCCTAAGAATGGTTGATTTATCCCTCGTGCAATCATGTTATGTTGATTACGTTGATTTCTCTCAATACAACTGATACTTATTGTATTAAAGGAAATGAGCAATATTGTATCGGTTGTAGACATTTTGAATAAAAAAAATTTGTATATATAATGAATGAGTTTTTTATTTTTTTTCCTCGTTCCTAGGATTGATTAATTTATCCCTCGTACAACCGTGTTACATTGGTTATACTGATTTATCTTGGTACAACTGATATATCACAGTCGTACTAAAGAAAAATAAAAAATGTTGTATGGGTTTTAAAAATATTGAATTAAAGTAAAAAAATTGTATGAAGAAAGAATGAGTTTTTAATTTTTCTTTTTCATCATTCTCAGGATTGATTGATTTATCTCTTGTACAACTAAATTGTTTTGATTGTCCTGATTTATCTTAATACAACCGATATACACAGTCGTGCTGAAGAGAAATAAGCATTGTTGTATCGGTTGTGCTTATTTATCTTAATTTTTATTTTTTTTAGGACCTTATGTCAAAATTGACAAGTAATAATGTCAATCATAAAAATCATTAACTATTTATGGTAAGTTTTTTTGACAGGGTTGTTCACAATGAGATGGAAGCATATGATCTATATTGCACTTATGCTCGCTCTCGTGGATTCATAAGAATCATGTGTATTGTTAGCTAAGTGCAAAGAATATAAAATCAAAGCATTTTGTGTGCTCAAATGCTGGTTTTAAGAAAGGATCAAATATAAACATCAGGTTGAAGTTCTAGAAATCAAACATTAGGATTGGTTGTCAAGTAATGGTTAGATTTATCATTGATCTTGAATTTAATTGTAATGCGAATAAATTTATAGACAGCCACAACCCTTCGTTAGTCATGCCAGCTGATCAACATCTGTTGAGACTACACTGCGATATCAGTGAAGAGAAAGCAGTTGTGTTACAATTGATGACACAAGCATGAATTAAAGTTATTGATGAATTCTGGTATCTTGTTGAGGAAGTAGGAGGAATAGATAATGTTGGATTTATAGAAAGAGATGCATATAATTATATAAAAAAATAAAAGAGCAATAATTGAGAACGTAGATAATAATTCCTTAATGGAATTATTCAAGGAAAGACAGACTGAAGATAATATGTTTGCATGGGTTGTTCACCGTGATGAGTCACATAGAGTAACTAATTTTTTTGGACTAATGGTTTGACAAGGGTTGACTACAACTACATTGGAGATATCGTAATTTTCTATACAAGCAACCAACTTAATAAGTATAATTTAGTTTGTGCTCCTTTCGTGGGAGTGAATCATCATTGACAAAATGTTTTATTCAAAGTAGCCTTTTATTAAAAAAGACAATTGAGTCATTCACCTGGCTATTCAAAACTTTTATTCACACAATGGATGATAAGTATCATGTAACAATATTCACTGATGAAAACCAAGAAATGACAAAGACCACAAAACTTGCATTACCTCATGCTCGGCATACACTATGCTAATGACATATCTATAAGAAGACTCATTCGAAAGTGCATTGTTTCAATAGCAACAAGTCAGTACAGAGGTTATTATACACATGCATGAGTAAATGTGATACAGAAGATGAGTTTAAGCAAGCATGGTCTGAGATAATTGAAAAAGGAAACCTCCAAGATAATTCTTAGCTAAAAAATTGTATAGAATTAAAACCATGTGATCTACAACATTAAATAAAAACACTTTCTGTATGAAAATTCTATCAACACAGCGCAATAAGTCTACAAATATGTGTCATGAAATTTTCAAGTCCACAAGCTCGTCAATGATTGTTTTCATGGATTGGAAAAGGTCATGGATACTTGTAGAAGAAACAAATAAGATGAGGATTTTAAATGTGACCAGTCTGGGATTGTTCCCATTGTAAGAAGAACCCAATCCTGAAGCAAGTTGTTTCATTCTACAAAAGAAAATTATATTCTTTCTTTAAAGAAGAATTTCTACACATGGCATGCGGACTGGTGACATAAAAAATTTACCATATTCTTTCTTTAAAGAAGAATTTCTACACATGGCAGGTGACATAAAAAATTGACCGGAATTCTTCATATATGAGTTTAGAAACTTGAAAAATAATGAAAATTCTAAGATTTAGACTGACTAATATAATAAAATTATGTCAAATATATCGTGTAATTGTAAGAAATTTGAGATGATTGGATTACTTTGTGTCAACTATATCAAGGTTTTGGGCCAAGAACATGTTAGAATTCCAAAAAGTATATGTTAATGAGGTGGTCCTGTAAAGCAAAGAAAAATACTTACTTTGATGTTGCATATAAAAAATTTAAAAAGTTTGAAGGAAGTATTGGGTCTTCCACTTCATTTATATTTTGTAATCACATCAGTAAGTATTTGTATCAAATAAGCTGCAAAGCACAAGGTAACGTAGAGGCAGAACAATATATGCTCGACACCGTGAAGTTATTAGACGGTGTCGATCTAATACTTGTAGGAAAATCACCTCTATTGATAAATCCTATGAAGAGAAAAAAGAATAATCAAAATAATGATATGAGGCCAAAAGACCCGGCCAAAATGCGACCAAAGGATGTTACTAATGCAAGATTGAAATCTTACACGGAGGAAAAAAATTAGGAGTAATTCTTATATTAGTTATTTTTACTTTTTTTTTTCCGCGGCTTACTCAATGTTAATATAACAAAATATAAAAATAAACAAACAATAGTTGAAGAACATGAAGAGGCAATGAAGGGAATCCCTTTCTCTACTATGCCCCAATGTTTAACGGCATCGACTGCAACCCCTTTCTTTGTTATGCCCCAATGTTTAACAAAGGAATCTTTGAGATTATTTTAATTTTATTTTTCCTAGGTTTTCTTATTATATGTTAACGGTATATCGACATTAACAGGAATTCGGTTCATCTCCAAGCATAAATAATCCATCCATTGGCCACACCAAGATGATGACGACAATAATTGGGCGAATGAATTTTTAGTTATAAAGAAGCAGAACAATTGAGATAGAACAAGATAATGAATCATATGATTTTGTAATAAGGAACTTTTAGATTTTGTAATAAAGAATTAGAACAACATGTTTTTTGAAGTAAGATTTCATCAGTACAACTTATACAAAATAGTTGTACCAAAGAGATCCCACGTAAATTTGTTATTTGTATAGAATTGATGCATAACTTTCATTAGGAAAATTTTCTCATTATAATTTTGTTGTATCAATTATATTGAGTTACCACATTAATGAATTTATAATCATTTATTCACATTTTACTTTATTCACATTTTACGATATTGTATTGGTTGCATCCAATATTACATATTCTATGCTCAATAAGAGACAATGTAAAATTCATTAAAGAAAAGAATATTTTTTACAAATATTAACATAATAAACGACTAAATGGATATTTTGCATTCCTTTTAATTGATGAATAACAATTTTGCTCAGTACAACTCTGTTGAATCGGTTGTACTAAGTTACCTAACCGACTTTATAAAATTTGATAGATTTGGTACAACCGATATAACACGATTGTACGGAATAGAGCGTACATAAATTTGTCATGTATAGAATTGATGCATAACTATCATCAAGAAATTTATCTCAGTACAACTATGTTGTATCAGTTGTACTGAGTTACCCCTTTAATGAATTTACATCAT